TAAAAAAAAAAGCTTCTTCCAAAGTGGAGTGAAGCCAGTTTTTAATTTCATGGGCTTTTTCTGGCCAACATAAGCTTGACGGGGACTTGAAAACCTTCAGTGTGACAAGTGCACCCATCTCTGCTGAGCAGGTGGGTCCTCGGCCACAGGGGACGGCCGGGTCTTATCTGCCTGCATTCCCGCCAAGGCGCCTGTCCCTGCAGCACGCTGACCCCCGGGGCGGGAGCGCCGTGCTCCTCTTGGAGCACCGTCAAGTGCGGGCTTCTTGGGTAGAGGCAGGAACTCTGTCCTCATGTCCTCACAGGTTCACGGCGTGGGGGCTGCCTTCTCTTAGCATCTGGATAGCCGTTCAGCTGCGATTTCTCATCAACTTTACACTCATTTACAGAGAGGGGTTTACTTAGACTTCATAGAGATGTTTCTCTGCTTTATTTGCGTTTATAAAACACACAGAAACTCTAAAAGACAACTTTAAAAAAAAGAAATGTTAAAGAAAATGAATTCTTGGGCTTATGACTGTTTTGTCCAACCTTAATATGCTATTAAAATAAGAATTTAAAAATTATATTGGTGTTACTTCTTACAAAGCATACAGACCTTTTCGGTGGCTTCTGGCAGAAGTCATTGGCTGCAGAGTGTTGGATTGGGTTTCTGCGGTAAGGTGGCACATTGCCCGTGAAGGTGCGCTCTGGGTCTCATCCGCAGTAATGTCTGTTACAGGCCAATTCCGAGCTCGGGGGCATCTGGTCAGTCGGACAGAGAATCTGGCAAAGAGATTTCCCCGGCATCTATTCGACTATCGGTGCTCACCAGTGGTCAGAGACGGTGCAGCCCATCATGGACGCCCTGAGAGGTACGGTGGTGACTGGCCCTGTCCTCCGGTCCTGCTGTGGACTGCAGCCAGTGTTGGGCTGAACAGAGGTCCTGCCTGCCAGCTTGGTGGCAGCCTGCAGGGTCTTCCTTGAGCTCTGATTGAGGTGTGAGTTTAGATCAGTTTTGCTTTGTCCTGCGTGAGAGGATGTCAGCAGTCAGGGAATACACCGCCGCGTCGTTTGTGTCTGGATGGAAACTGCTCTTTATCTGCAGAAGGTGGTTTTGGTTTTGGGTTTTGCGCCACTGAATGAAATCTGGCAGTCTGCAGTCGAAGGTGCCCGCTGGTTAAGATTTTAGAATCTGTGTATTTGACAGCGTGGACACCCTGGATGTCTCGTGCCCATTCTCTGGCCATTGAAATAGCCAGTTCACTGTAAAGAAGTCCACATTGACTGGCTGCTTTTAAAGAGTGGACGCTGGTGCATTGGGGTCAGGGTCTCCCCCAGCGTTCAGCCCCTGCCCTCCTCCGTCAGTCTCCCAGCAGCCTCTCCAGTCTCCCTGTGGTGACTCGTTGGCATCCCTGCCTGCTCTGGAGGGGCTGGGAGGAGGAGGGGTAGACACCTGCTATGTGCTCGTCATTCTTGCAGGGGGCTGGAGCTTTCTGCGGTAGATGAGTGTGGGAGACTGCTTTTAATGCACCAAGTTCCCTGAGGTGGTAACGCTTTACCCACGTAGAACAGGACTGGCGGGGCACAGATGGCCCGTGTCAGGAGGAGCCCAGTACAGGGTGGTTGCACAGGTGTGACAGGAGAGGCCTCATCATCTGTCCACCTGCGGAGTCTGGGCTTCAGTGCTGTCTGCTCTACTCTGTACTTCGCCTCAGAGCCCTCATGGCCGTGCAGGACGAGGGTGCAGCCCCGCTCCCTTCATTTCTGTGTGCCTCTCCTCTCCAGCCGTGGCCTGGCCCCTAGACGGCAGCAGCTGTGTGCTTCCGTGAACACAGTACACACACACACACACACACACACACACACACGGCCCTTCTGCCCGGGTCCTAGACAGCAGCGGCTGCGTGCACAGTGTGTGCGTCTTGGACTCAGGGCCACCCTGCCAGAGCGCCTGCACTCGTGGGCAGCACGTGTCACACGTGGCTGATGGTTTGTCCTCGCCTGCACAGCGGTGCTTTGCTGGGGCTGTCTTGGGATGGAGTGGGTCAGCGAGCGTCTCCGGCTCCTGCCTGTGTGCTCGATGGCACCTGGGACTGGCCGGGTTCTTGAGTGCCATGTCAGGAAGGGGCTACAGGCTGGAGGTGTGTCCTGTACTCCAGGTGCGGCCCCTCCATCCCTGCCGTCGTTCCTCCTGTGTCAGATGACAGACAGCGTGTGTGGACACTGCAGAGCAGCATTAGTAAAACGCTTCAGTTCTCCCTTCAGGCTCCCGTTCTGCACGAGTGTAAGCACTGACGTCTTTAGAGATTGGCAGCCCAGGTCCCGAGGGCACGTCAGCAAGGTGCTTGCGGTTTGAGGCCTGTGAATAGTTGCTCTTTCCCCAGCTTTGGGATTTCCCTTGTGGTCAGAGGCGTGTGATTCCACAGTGTCGGGGCGCCCCGCGCACTCCCACATCAGCCCCGCTCGAACCTGCCCTGTGTCCACTCAGGCCTTGAGCACACACTTCCCGGGGTGAAGCTGCTCTTCCTGGTCGTCCTGGCCGGGGGAGCGAGAGATGGAGTTACGGACTTTGAGTGTCTGCTGTCTCTCATGCCCGACAGATGCCACCCGGAGGCGAGCCTTCGCCCTGGTCTCCCAGGCCTACACCTCCATCATCGCCGACGACTTCGCCGCCTTCGTTGGCCTTCCTGTGGAAGATGCTGTGAAAGGTACTGGGCGGGTCTCAGTCCACAGCCCCCTGCAGATGTGTCTGGGTTTGGGACTCTTCAGAAGGTGCAGGGAGCCTGTGGGACCTGGAAGTCACAGGAGTGCCTGCCCAGCCCCCTGCACGCTCAGGGCACAGGCGTATTGCATCTCTGTTATGTATTTCAGGGAAATCATCTCTGTTTTTTTTCCTACGTGGTTCCAGCTTTCACAGGTACTACTGTGGAAGGTCTTTGTGGAGGTGGTAACCATGGTTGAGCAATCGCGGCTAACTGAACAGTCAGCAGTTTGAACCCACTGGCCGCTCCTTAGGAGAGAGACATGGTGATAGTTGGCTTGTTGTTGTGTGCCACCGAGTCAGAACCGACCCCGAACTGGCCCTGGGCGGCTTTCAGAGGCAGTAAATGCAGGGGAGGAGATGCCCGCCTTTACCCCCAGGGCACCTTTGGGTTGGTGGCACAGCTCCTTGCCCACTTGGCCACCAGCACAGCCTTGGGAACCCTAAGGGGCAGCTCTCTGTCCTGCAGGGTCTCTGCGAATAGAAGCTAGTCAGCGCCAGGAGGTCTGATTTTTAGGAAACATCACACCTGCCCGTCCGGGCACCACTCCTGGTTGTTAACTCCCAGCACCTGGACGATTCTAGTCAGAAAGGGCACCAGCGTGCCACCAGCCTTGGGACAGGGACGTGGGAATCAGCCCAGGATGTACTGCCCAGTAGACGGCCGAGCCCCTCCTCCCCCGACGTGGGCTTTGACTCGGGCACCCCTCCCCCCACCTGCCGCTCCATCCCTGTCCCTCCCCCATTCAGTTGACTTGTGTTGATCACGTGAGCTCAGCGTTGTGGAGGCCTGCTGCTTTGATCACTTGTTTGGTGGTGGTGATTGTTCACAGGCGTCATGCGTGCATCCTGGGGGGTTTGCTTTTGTCTTAGTTAGGACCCTGTTGTAGAGTGTATGTTGTAGAACACGGATCCCCTGCATACAGTGAAGTGAGGCTTTAACCCCGGGACCCTTCCCACAGCCGACGTGGTTGAGAGCGCTCACTGTCGACCCGAGAGCTGGCCGTCTGTGGCCGTGTCCCTCCTGCATCTGGCTACGTGGTGTGTCGGGATGTCTGCTGTTAACTGTGTCCTGTGTCCTCTGTGTTCGCAGGCATACTGGAGCAGGGGTGGCAGGCGGACTCCAGCACGAGGATGGTCATGCCCAAAAAGCCAGGTAGGTGGCGTCCTGCCCACCTGTGTGCCCAGAACCCAGGTAACACGGTAGCAGTGCCTCAGGCTTGGAGCGTGAACATTTGGTATAAAGTCCCGCGTGCTTAGAAAACGGGATAAAGATTCCAAGTGCTAGACTCTGAGAGGTAGGAGCGTCCGACGGTCACCTGTTTTTACCTAATAGTCGCCCCTGTGCTGCAGTGTTCAGCCACGCAGTAGACCTAGAAAATGAAGCATAACGCCAGGGAGGTGTAGAAAACTCAGCCACACAAGAGGACGAGGACACATTTTCCCAGGAAGAGAGAGCTCAGCAGACAGAGCAGAGAGGCTGAATGGAAGCAGGAGTCACAGGGAGGGCCTGGGAGGAGTGCTGTGAGCGCGGGGTCTGAACAAGCGTGTGGGAACTCGGTCACAGCACAAAGCGACGCCAGCAAGTTCCCATCTGACTGATGGGGGTGGGGGTGCTCCATGGAGAGATGTGCAGTCGGCTTTGTAAAGATGGCAGCCTCGGGCACCCTTGGGGCAGCTCTGCTCTGTCCTGTGGGTCTCTGTGGTTGGACCAGAGGCAATGGTCCTAAGCTAAGGGCTGGTGTGACCTCCTGTCCCCAGTGACACCTAGTCTCCACTCCAGAGAGAGCGCCTATTTCCTTTTCCCCCAGTTTTCTTCCTCGTCTTCCTCTTCACACACTCCAATGTTTCCCTTTTCTCCTTGTGCTCGAGTCAGGTATCAGGTAAACTCTTAAACAGAACTCCTCAGTGACAGCATTCACGGTGCACCTGTTGACACCTCAGATCTCGTGGCCTGGCCTTGTCCCCGCCCATGGGCTTCCTCCCTCTCTTGATGGACAGGTCTTCTCACTGACGACCCCCTCCACACTCCATTGTCTCCTCAGCACCCCCACTCTTGGCCCTCTTTTCTGCCAGTCTGTGTGTCCGTCCACTCGGTGACCCAGCCACGTCTGCTCAGTCCACCCACCTCCCCACCTGTTCTCTGTCCTCCTGCCTCAGGCATTGTTGTCACGTGGGAAGGGTCCCAGCCTGTGAATAGGGGTCTGCCAGGGTGCTTGAGCAGAAACGGGGCCCACCAGGTCCAGGCTGAGCAGACCGGCCGTGGTCAACTGTGTGGAAAAGGTCGTGTGAGCGCAGCAACGTGGGGAATGGGCACTTGCGGTGCGTGGGGGCCTGTGCAGTGACCGCTGTCTCCTGTTCAGTTGCAGGCTCCCTGGATGCCTCCTTTAACAGGTTCACGCCCCTGTCAGGTAGGTGGCCTCAGCCCCCTCAGAACATTTTCTGCTGTTCAGGTGTCCGTGTGCCCTGTGTTTTCAGAGGATCTCCAGTGGTTCAGACCCACCAGCTGCTCCGCCTCAGACAAGGCACCTGCCCCCCCCCTTAGATGTCCTGGGCGGCTCTGCTATATCCCAGGAGTCACTCTGGCTTGGTCGCCCTGTGGGGTGTGGCTCAGGGACAGTGAGTTTGTGGGTCTCCTTAGCTGTGACCTTTCGCTTAGCAATAGGAGAGCCAGTGGCAGGTGTTGAGAACACGCAGCGCTGTGTGCTGGTATTTCCATCGTCTCGGGCACGAGTGCAGCTGTGTTCCCTGTGGCTCACAGAGGGGGTGTCATGTGACTAGGAGCTCCTCTCTTCACTCAGGGCAGGGCAGGGGTGCCCAGGCTGGCCCCTGATCCCCTGTGCGCTGGGCTGCCCTCTTGCTGAGCCTGGATGTCTGTCCCCTTGGTCGCCCGCGGCTGACCCTTCCGGAGCAGGGCGCACTGAGCCCGGCGGGAGTTAGTAACGGCCGTGTGGGTGGGGCCTCCTGAGGAGCTGTGTGAACAGTCACCCCGCGTGGAGCGCTTGGGCAGCACAGCCAGGCTTGCTGAACCCTCACAAAGATGGCATTTCTTAGCTTTTTTCTTTTCGCAACCCCAAGGCTTCCAGGAACCCTAAAACATGTAAAATCAGGGCCTTACCCAGATGAGAGGACAGACAGACGCGGGGAGGGGGCTGTGAGCTTTGCTGCGCCCATGACTCACTGACGTTCCCTCTTCACCTGCAGAGCCGGCCCCCGTCCCAGCGATCCCCAACGAGCAGCAGTTGGCCAGACTCACCGATTATGTGGCTTTCCTTGAAAACTGAGTCGTCCCCGCAGACCCCCGGGGTCCTGTGCACTGACTGACGGAAACCAGGTGCTGGGTGGACGGAGCCCCCGCGGCTCCCTGAGTAGGTGAAGCACCTGTGTGCTATAAAGTACCTTGTTTCGTCCTCACTCTTTGTGCTGACTGGGTGTGGACACAGCTGTTGTGGTGACGGGACAGTCGGGGGCCCGTCGGCGTTCTGTGGCTGCTGCGTACTTCCTCCTGCCTCTCAGAGCCACGTCCTGTGGAGCTGCAGGTGTCCGCACCCCTGTCAGGCACCAGCCCTGGCGGGTGATGGCTGGGGGCATGAGGACTGGTCCCTGGGAGGCAGTAGCCTCAGTGCTGGCCGTTCTGACTCCACTCTTCGGAGAATCTGCTTTTCCTCTTCCTGGCTTTGGAGGATCGCTAGTGTGGACGACTGAAGTCCTCCAAGAGGCGAAGGCCACTCCTTCCAGCCGGCCTGCTCGCCGAGTCTTCGCTGCGTGTGTACGCCTGTCGGCGGCCTGCTCACCCGTGCACGTGCCGTTTCCACCAGCGCCGGCGGTGTGCAGGGGGCTGGTGAGAAGTGACCGCGTCCCCCCAGAAGCCGGGGACAGGACATCCCCCAAGGTCAGGATGCACGAAGGCCGTTGCCGCAGCCGACCCCCTCGGACGCAGCCCAGGCTCAAGCCGTTCAGAGAACCTGGCCAGCCCTTTGGTTTCCTGTGTGCCAGCATCGTAGTGTTCGAACTCGCCTGTTTTATCTTCAGGTTCAAACGCCCCCAGTTTGGTCATCCTACATTTTTGAATAAATATTTAATTGCTCCTTCAGCTCTGTCCTCAGGTGGTGTGGACATTCCACCCTGGCTGCCTCTCTGTGCACATGTTGTGGTTTGTCCGTGTCTCTGCCAGGAGGAGTGTTTCCTGATTAAATAGATGCTCTCTACATGTGCTTGGTCTGATCCGTCACTCATTTCAGCCACATGTTCCGGGACTCGTTGCTTTGTTGTTTGTGATTGGGGCTCAGGTTTCTGCCCGGTTGACCAGACCCGGGGAGGGGAGGGGTGGCATTGTGGGGATCTGCTCACCTAATGAACAGAAGCTCACATCTACCACCTGGTCCCCAAGTGGAAGGTGTTCGCTCCCTAGACATTTCCAGCCCCAGAACCCCATGGAGAGCTGGTCACTATGGGTCACAATTGTCTCCACAACAGTTGTGGAGGTTTTTTAAATAAAGCATCATTTTACCCTGGATCTATCTCACAGTTATATAGTAACATTGTCATTAGAAAAGCAATGATAAAGTGAGAATAATCAGGCTAAATGTGTATGAGAAAGGAAAATTAGAACTGAGAGCTTCACTTGTTAATAGGTCGCCATTTAGGAAGCAGTGGGTTCGTCCAGCAGGCGGGCAGCTCCGGTGGGTCATCTGGGCTGCGGCACTGCTAACCCAAGTCCACACCTGTGATGAGGCTTCACATCCACCAGCAGCCAGGTCTCCTCACGTGCCACTTAGAGCCTTGGCAACCTGCTGGCGGAGTTCTGACTCCACGTCAGTGAGAAGGCTGGAAAGCACACCCGGCTGGGGACCGTTCACAGGAACCACGCGGTAGGGCTAGAGCTGGGTCGTGGAGCGAGGCCCTGGCCACATCCGCAGTTGGAGCCCAGATGAGGGTGGTGTGTTTGATGACCATGTTGGAGCAGGTCAAGGGTACAGGAACTGGTCCGTGAGATGCCCCCACCACTCTGCATGTGCAGTCCCAGCACCCCTCCCAACTCGGGCTGTCTGCTGGCTGGTTCTTCTCTTCATACCTCTTCAGTCTCGACTGAGCAAATCATGCGAGAAGCTGGACTCAAGAAAGTTGTCTCAGGGTCAGAGGAAGACTCTTCAGCAACCCATGATACACACATGACACAACCTTGCTTTCCAAAATGAGGGACCCTAGGCGCTTGGTGCAGAAGATCAAGGATATTCCTTCAATACGGATTCCATCTCAGGAAGACAGAAATGCTCCCCACTGGGCCAGCAGACAGCATCGTGATGGACAGAAGGTTGAAGTCAATGATTTCCTCTCCCTTGGATCCGCAGTCGACAACTGTTAGTACCAGCAGTCAGGAGATAGAAGGCATTGGGAAGCCTGTTGTCAGGGACCTTTCCAAAGTCCTGAAAAGCAAAAGTCAGTCTAAAGACTAAAGGATGCCTGACTTAGGTCATGGTCTGCTCTGCACCTGGGAGCCGGACAGTGAATAAGGATGACAGGAATCCGTGTACCTGCCCTGTGGTGGTGAAGAGCACGGAGCGAACAGGTAAGTTTGGAAAGACTGCGGCCGCCATGCTCCTCCAAGGCAAGGATGGTTTAGCTTTGACTCCCATCCTTCAGGCCTGCTGCTGGGACAGGCTGTTCTTGGAGAAGGACATCATGCTTGGAAAGGTGGAGGGTCATTGAAGGAAAGGAAGACCATCAATGAGAGGGACTGACAGTGACCACCGCCATGCCAGAAACAAGGATGGCACAGGATCGGACAGGGTTCAGGTCTTTGATGGAGAGGGTCACTGTGAGTCGACTCGATGGCACATGACTTCTGCCCAGTGGACGTTCTGATTTCAGTGACATGCACTTTGTTGCCCACTGCATACGCTCAGGGCAGCCATCGAGGCAGAAGGACACTGGATGGGCAGGTGTCTGTCACTGTTGAAGAGAAGCAAGCAGCCTGCGCTGAGGACAGTAAGCCAGTGTGCCACGTGGTGGGGCTGTTTTGTCTGGCCTGGAAGGAGCTGGGGTCGGCCATTGGACAGAAGTCGGGTGATGGACTTGGTGTGGGCACGTAGAATGCATCCTTGTCTGCATTCACACAACGTGCCCGCTAGAGGGCACCCACCGCAGCACCCACCTCCACGGCCAAGTCCGAGCCAACCCAGCCCAGTCCTGCAGTGTCCTCACAAGGGTCCTCTCTGAGCCCATTGCTGCAGCCAGGCCAATCCATCGCGCTGATAGCCCTCTCCCTCAATGGCCCCTCCATTTCCAAGCATGGTGACCCCCAGGAACTGGCACCTTGTGATAAAATGCCCAAAGTCTCTGATCAGAGGGTGACAACATCTCTTGACTGTCAGCCGGCCCCCACCCCCAGGACTGACAGTGCCCGTGGTGGCAGGCTCCTCTGTTACCCACTGCTCATTGGCTGACAAGGTGTCCACGAGGAATGCTACGGGGTCAACGATGTGGCACAGCCCCGAAGACAACCATGCTGTCCACAGCGTGCCCTCTCACACGGAGGAGCAGTGTTCCTCCTCATGGGGAAAGGTGCCCACATCTTCCACCGTGCTCTTCCCAACACCACGGTGCACGAAGGTACCCAAGGTCTCAGGTGCTGGCCGTGTCATCTGTTGTCCAGGGAACCCATTTCATGAGCAACCAAGTGTACCAGTGGGTGCCCATTGGCTTTGTTGATTTCAGGGTATATTTCATTAGAAGTTTCTAGAGTTATGAGTGGCTGGTGAGAGGCAGCTCAGGTGCCAGCTTGGGGACAGGTTGTGGGTTGGAATAGTCCCCTCCAAAAAGTGAGATCCCCTAAACCAGTAGCTAATACTGACCTGTGTTCACAGAGGTAGAACACAAGGTCATGGGCACAGAGGACCCTGGACTGCCTCCCCAAAACTCCAAGTAGAGGTAGAATACAGGATCATGAACACAGGACTCCCCGGCTACATCCTCGTTAACTCCAGGTAGAGGTAGAATACAGGGTTAAGGGCACAGGCTCCCCAACTGCCTCCCCATAACTCCAGGTGAGGTGTTTGCTGAATGTGTGATTATACACACACACACACACACACACACACACACACACACACACACTCACTCCAGTGATGGTTGGAAAAGGTCAGTTTTGGCTCAACACAAGGGACACTGTGCCCAGTGGGAGTACAAAGTGGCCCAGATGGGAATTCATGACTGTAGTAGCCACTGCACTAAAGAGGGAACTGATTTTACAGCTGACTTGTTTAGCCCAGCTCAGAATATCAGTTCATCATATCATCCATAGAAAAATATCAGTGAGATTGTTGATGCTATCTGAAAATCACGTCACGGATGTGCAGCTGGGGTGGTCCTCGGAGGCGAGGACAGTGAAACTCACTAAGACCGTGCTGAATCAGGCCACCTTGTTGATTGCCTTCACGCCAAGCATGACTCATAGCGACCCTACGAACAAAAGGCCTGAAGCCCCTCAACAACTATCGACATTCTTCAAAGTTCATAGAGTTTCCGGGGGCATGTTGTTTAGGAAGTGGATGCTTCTGCTTCCAACAGGCCACCTTCGTCTTCAAAAGGACTGCTCCGGAACCCTGGATGCGGCCACTGCCTCACACACACCAGGGCACAGGCTGCCTCTGAGGCAGTTCTGACTCCTTGTGTGTGATGCTGGAGGACCGCGTGGAACTGCTCATCGCGTGTCCAAGACGCCCCTCTGTGGAAGCAGACTGTCCCTTCTGTACAGAGGCTGGTGGGTTCAAATCTCTGGCCTTGTGGCGGGCAGCCAATTGCTTTACCCACTGTTCTCCCAGGGCTCCCTGGCAGCTCCGCTTCGTTCCATCTGCTGCATGTGGAGGGCTCTGCACACGGGCCCACTGTCAGGTGCAGTGAGGATCCCACCAATCAGACAGGAAGTTCTGTAGCCAGTGACCAAGGATTGATGCTCCTGTTGAGTCCCTTCAAGTCAGAATCGACTCACAGCTGACCCTCCAGCGGGTCTCCAGAGACCATAAATTGCACAGGAGGAGACTGCCCCTCTTTCCCCCTTAAGAGCAGCTGGTGGATTCAAACCGTACATGCAGTGAACTCCTTACCACTAACCTTTGGTACCAGCAGTCAGGAGATCAGGAGATGGATTGCATTGGGCAAGTCTGCTGTCAGGGACTTCTCCAAAGTCCTTAGGAGCAATGATGTCAGTTTGAAGACGAAGGTGTGCTTTATTCAGGCCATAGACTCCTCGGTGTGAGCCAGTTTCACCATCCTTGCCTCCAAG